CTTTGCCTATTTTTTAATTGGGTTGTCTTTTTGTTGTTGAGGTTTTCCAGTATCTTGCAGATTTTAGAGATTAGACGCTGATCGGATTTGTCATAGCCATAATTTTCTCCCAGACTGTAGGTTGTCTTTTGACTCTTTTGGTGAAGTCTTTTGATGAGCTTAAGTGTTTGATTTTTCGGAGCTCCCATTTATCTAGTCTCTCTTCTGGTGCTTGTGCATTGTTACTTATGGTTCGTATTGTGTCTATGCCGTGTATTAGGGCTCCTAGCGTTGTCCCTATTTTTTCTTCCATGATCATTTTCAATTTTATATTTAAGTCTTTGATCCATTTTGAGTTAGTTTTTGTGCATGTTGTGAGGTATGGATCTTGTTTCAGTTTCTTGCAGATGGATATCCAGTTATGCCAGCACCATTTGTTAAAGAGACTGTCTTTTCCCCAATTAATGGATTTTGGGCCTTTGTCAAATATCAGCTGCTCATAGGTGGATTAATTTATATCTGGATTCTCAGTTCTGTTCCACTGGTCTATGTATCTGTTATTGTACCAGTACCAGGCTGTTTTGACTACCGTGGCGGTATAATAGGTTCTAAAATCAGGTAGTGTGAGGCCTCCTACCTTGTTCTTCGTCTTGAGTAATGCTTTATTTATTCGGGGACTCGGTAAGAGGTTTTGAGAGGAGGAATAAAATCCATCAATCAGAGTCAGCTAAGCCGAAGGGGTTAATAGGTATTACTTATAACCATTTTACAGATAAAGAGCCAGACGCAGTTAAATGATGCCCAAAGACAGTGAATGGCAGAGCTAGAATTCAAGCCAAGTTTAATTCCAGAGGCCTTGCTCTTAGTCTTAACCATGAATGGATAGTAGTTGCCTAAACTCTTTTTCTAGTTTAGTCCCTCACCCACCAAATCTCCCCCTAAATTGCCGTAATCTCCCCTCCAATCCTCGACCTTCTGCCACCCCTCCGCTCCTTGCCGAACTTCGTTTGAGGCGCCGGCAGATGGCGTTGAAGTCCCCGGCGGGCCGCTCTGTCCAGCCTGCGTGCCTCTGTGGTGCCAGGCCCCTGGCTCTGCCGCGCTTCCGGGCGCCGATCCAGGTGAGCTAGCTAGGGTCTTCCGAGAACCCTATTAGGCCCCTTGACCTCGAAGTGAGGGACCCTCTCCAGCCCTTGCAGCCTGAGGTGCCCAGTACCGGGGTCAGGATGCCCAGGCAGAGGTCAGGTAGCTGCCCGAGGAGGCACAGCCGCCTGGACGCCTGGGTCCCGGCCAGGCCCAACGGGCTCTCAGCCCGGCGCACCTGCCCCGCTTCACGGGAGACCCGCGGAGGTCGCGCCTCCGGTCTCCTTGGGACCTTGGCAGTCCGGAAGCGGAGCGTGATTCCTCCCCTTGTCCTCTCGGTCCCCGCCAGGCGGCGCCGTCTCCTTGGCTCGGGTTCCCCATCGGCTGGGAGCCCTGACCACCCCAGGGGTGTTGAGATTGTCGAGGAGAGAAGCAGAGAGACTCTGGCAGAGAGCAGTCAGCCACTTGAAATAAGTTTGCCTCGTGGGCTGTTTTTTCAGCGTTAGGATCTCTTGGAGTACATGTACAAATTCCTAAGCTTTACAACCAAAAATCCTGATTCAGTAGATCTAGGGTGGGCCCTGGAAACCAGCATTAACAGTCTCTCCAGGTCGATGCGCATAATCTGTGGACCTCACTTTCAGAACTGGTTAAGAGAAATATTGCATTGGGTTGCCTCTGGGACTGTTTATCTTCTAGAAGACTTCCTATAGGAGGTAATTCTAGTTGGGTTTTGGATTGAGGGACTGAAATATCCACTACTTTCTCTCCTTGCCCCCACCCTCTAGTGATGAATTCCCTCCCCAGCTGCTACCAGAATGCAGAAGGTCTCAGTGCTGCTCTTCCTGGCCTGGGTCTGCTTCCTCTTCTATGCCGGCATATCCCTCTTCACCAGTGGCTTTCTGCTCACCCGTCTGGAGCTCACCAATCATAGCAGCTGCCAAGAGCCCCCAGGCCCTGAGCCCCTGCCTTTGGGGCACCGAGGGGAGCCCGGGGCTTGCTGGATGGCTTCCCGTTTCTCCCGGGTTGTGTTGGTGTTGATAGATGCTCTGCGTTTCGACTTTGCCCAGCCCCAAAGTTCACACATGCCTGGGGAGCCTTCTGCATCCCTGCCTTTCTTGGGCAAACTGAGTTCCTTGCAGAGGATCCTGGAGATTCAGCCCCACCGTGGCCGGCTCTACAGATCTCAGGTTGACCCTCCCACCACCACCATGCAGCGCCTCAAGGCCCTCACCACTGGCTCACTGCCTACCTTTATTGATGCTGGCAGTAACTTTGCCAGCCACGCCATAGTGGAAGACAATCTCATTAAGCAGCTCACCGGTGCAGGTCAGTCTGGGCCCTTTGGGAGGCCAGGAGTACTTTGTCTGATTCCTTCTCTTGTAGTCAGGGAGCCACAGCCTTGGGTGCTCAGCACATGTTTGACTTGCTGTGAGAGGGACAGGAGGAGAAAGAGAATAGGTCCCTGCATGCAGGGAGCTCAGTTCAGGGGATAAAGAAGAGAGGATCTGGGCTTTGTCCTTATGGAGCTTCTAATCTGCATGGACTATTGGTTTTACTCTTGGGGAACTCTCAGTAAAGTGCAGGGGAAGAGGAGGAGATGTGGGCTTGGTACCCTCGCAAGTGTGGAGAAGAGAGCAGAGGGATCCAGGCTCTGTCCACAGGTACTCATTGACTTGGGAAAAGCAGGATGCACCCAGGAAAAACAGCAGGAGAGATACCCAGGGACAGAACTAGCAGAGCATTCTACAGGAATGAAGCTTGAGAGGTCTGGGTGGAGTAGAGTTATCAGGGAAACCTTCCCGAAAGAAAATACCAGGTCTTGAAGGACAAGGAGTTAGTGGGTATAATTGCTATGACTTAGAGTGAATGGTTGAGATTCCTGATGAGTCTTTAAAGATCCTCTTTTCTTTTTTCCTGCTCTGACTCCCTCTCATGTCCCTGCAGGAAGGCGTGTGGTCTTCATGGGAGATGATACCTGGAAAGACCTTTTCCCCGGAGCTTTCTCCCAAGCTTTTTTCTTCCCATCCTTCAATGTCAGAGATCTGCACACAGTGGACAATGGCATCCTGGAACACCTCTACCCCACCAGTGAGCACAAGGCCAGAGGCAGACCTGGCACAGACGGAGGGTCTGGGGAGGGCTGCTTCACTTCACAAAGTCTGAGCCTCCCATTGGCACAAGGGCCTGGGTTAGTGTCCCTGGACATAGGAGAGTTGTCGAGGCCTGGCTGGGGTTCACATGTGGACCTTAGTCCCCTGTGCTCAGTGTTCTCCCCTCCACAGTGGACAGTGGTGAATGGGATGTGCTGATTGCTCACTTCCTGGGTGTGGATCACTGTGGCCACAAGCATGGCCCTCACCACCCTGAGATGGCCAAGAAACTTAGCCAAATGGACCAGGTGATCCAGTGAGTGTTGGGTATCGGCTGGGGGAGTGAATTTGTGTCTGAGAACCTCAGCATATATGGCCCCCGGAGAAAAAATCCTTATCTTGGAGTCTTTTTCTTTTCTGAATTCTGTCTTCTCCAGACTATTTTCTGAAGTTAGGGGCCTTATCCACCTTTAGTAACTCAGTGTATAGCTTTGGGCAGCAAGGTCATAGCAGATGGGGTGTCCCCTTGCCGAAGGTCTAGGACCTACTAATGGAAATCAATGCTGGGGGTGAACGGGCCCCTGAGAAAAAATCTTTATCCGTCTCTACTCCCTGACACGTTTCTTGGCCCCCAGGGGCCTTGTGGAGCGTCTGGAGAATGACACACTGCTGGTGGTGGCTGGGGACCACGGGATGACCATGAATGGGGACCATGGAGGGGACAGTGAGCTGGAGGTCTCGGCTGCACTTTTTCTGTATAGCCCCACAGCCCTCTTCCCCAGCGTCCCGCCAGAGGTGAGGCCTGGGGTGTCCCTTGTCTTACCAGTTTCTAGGTATTCAGCCCACATCATGATCACAGTACCCTCATGGATCTCTTAATTTTAGGCCCCCCAGTTCATGACCCTGGGCATCCCCTACTCTCATTTCCTACCTAGGCCCCAGTACCTTCCATCCCCAACACTGACTCTGTGCTTTCCCTCTAGGAGCCAGAGGTGGTTCCTCAAGTCAGTCTTGTGCCCACACTGGCCCTACTTCTGGGCCTACCTATTCCATTTGGGAACATCGGGGAGGTGATGACTGAGCTGTTTTCAGGAAACAAGGACTCCCAGCCCCACACTTCTGCTATGGCCCAAGCCTCAGCTCTCCATCTCAATGCCCAGCAGGTAGGTAAGGGGCTGGACTTCCAGGTGACAGAGCTAGAGTAGTTATATGAGAAGCATAATGACCCACTTCATTGTCCTTTGTACAGTCTTAATCCCACCTTCCTTAGCCATGTTCCCCTCCCATTGTCCCTCTCTTCTCCCATCCTGGACAGAGTTTAGGTTCCCCCGTTTGTAATATCTACCCTTAACCTCTGTCCCAACTTCTATTTCTGACCTTTCCCCCTTGGCCTCTGACCTTTTCTGCCAGGTGTCCCGATTTCTTCACACCTACTCAGCCGCTACTCAGGACCTCCAAGTTAAGGAGCTTCAGCGGCTGCAGAGCCTCTTCTCCAAGGCCTCTGCTGACTACCAGAGGCTTCTGCAGAGCCCTCAGGGGGCTGAGGCAGCACTGCAGGCTGTGATAGCTGAGCTGCAACAGTTCCTGCGGGGAGCTCGGGCCATGTGCATCGAGTCTTGGGCTCAGTTTTCTCTGGTCCGCATGGCAGGGGGTGCCACTCTTTTAGCTGCTGCCTGCTTTTTCTGCCTGCTGGCATCCCAGTGGGCAACATCCCAAGGTTTCCCTTTCCACTCTCACAGGTTATCTGTGGCCTGGGGTCTGGCTGGGACCATAATATATGCTGGACTTCTGGCAACTGCTGGGCTGAAGCTGGATCCAGTGGTCCTAGGGGCTGTGGCGGCAGTGGGCTCACTCCTGCCTTTTCTGTGGAAGGCTTGGGCTGGCTGGGGGGCCAGAAGGCCCCTGGCAGCCCTACTTCCCATCCCTGGGCCTGTCCTACTTCTCCTGCTCATTCGCTGGGCTGCATTTTTCTCTGATAGTTTTGTTATAGCTGAGGCCAGGGCCACCCCCTTCCTTCTGGGCTCACTCATCTTGCTCCTCGTTGCCCAACTTCACTGGGAGGGTCAGCTGCTGCCACCTAAGCTGCTTGCAATACCCCGCCTTGGCCCTTCGACCCCAGCAGTTCCCCCACGGCACAATGGCATGCATGCCCTGGGGCTTGGGGTCGGGTTGCTTTTATGTACAAGGCTAGCTGGGCTCTTTCATCGCTGCCCTGAAGAGACACCTGCTTGCCGCTCCTCTCCCTGGCTGAGTCCTCTGGCTACCATGGTGGGTGGTCGAGCCAAGAATTTGTGGTATGGTGCTTGTGTGGGAGCACTGGTGGCCCTGTTAGCTTCTGTGCGCCTGTGGCTTCGCCGCTATGGTAATCTCAAGAGCCCCGAGCCCCCTGTGCTCTTTGTGCGCTGGGGGCTGCCCCTCATGGCCCTGGGTATTGCTGCCTACTGGGCATTGGCATCAGGGGCAGATGAAGCACCCCCACGTCTCCGGGCCCTGGTTGCTGGGGCATCAGTTGTGCTGCCTCGGGCTGTGGCAGGGTTGGCCGCTTCAGGTCTCATGCTGCTGCTCTGGAGGCCTGTGACGGTGCTGGTGAAGGCTGGGATGGGTGCCCCAAGGACCAGGACTGTCCTCACTCCCTTCTTAGGCCCCCCCACTTCTCAGGCTGACCTGGATTACGTGGCCCCTCAAATCTACCGACACATGCAGGAGGTGTTCCGGGGCCAGTTAGAGAGGAACAACTCTCAGGGCCCCCTGACTGTGGCTGCTTATCAGTTGGGGAGCGTCTACTCAGCTGCTATGGTCACGGCCCTCACCCTGTTGGCCTTCCCACTTCTGCTGTTGCATGCAGAGCGTGTCAGTCTTGTGTTCCTGCTTCTGTTTCTGCAGAGCTTCCTTCTCCTGCATCTGCTTGCTGCTGGGATACCCATCACCACCCCTGGTAAATATATATCTCAGCCCTTGTTCATCCAAGGACAGTAGTGATAGTGATGTGAGTTCAGCCCCTCTTATTTTCAGAGAGGTGGAACTCCTCAGATTCCTCACTTTGACACAGGGTCTTATGCCCCACACAGTTGGGAAGGTCTTCCTGATGTCCTCTCATCTGCTATAGCCAAAATAATTGATCCCTTTTGCTGACTCCCAGGCTAGGAGGGTTCATGGGGAAGGGACACAAGGAGTCCTCCAAGACTCACTTCTTCTGGTATTGCTACATCCCAATGACCCAATTTCCTGATTCCCAGTGATGGGAGTGATGAATTATGAATGTATAATGAATAGCATAGGAAGCTGTTTATAAATGAAAGAGAGAAAGAGACTGATTACAGTGGGGTTCAGAGGCTCAGGTTAGGGTGATGGGGCTTTGTGTCACAGAGGGAATTAGAATAACAGAGTGTTGACTGTAAGGAGGTCAGGGTGATGAGCATGTATTATGTGAGAGTTAACACTGATTAGTGGAAGGGTATTTTCAGAGGGCAGTTGGCTATGCATTGGGGAATGGGATGTGACTGTAAGGAGGCATATTTCTTCCCCCAGGTCCTTTTACTGTGCCATGGCAGGCGGTTTCTGCTTGGGCCCTCATGGCCACACAGACCTTCTACTCCACAGGCCACCAGCCTGTCTTTCCAGCCATCCATTGGCATGCAGCCTTCATAGGATTCCCAGAAGGTCATGGCTCCTCCATCTGGCTGCCTGCTTTTCTGGTGGGAGCCAACACCTTTGCCTCCCACCTACTATTTGCAGGTACCTTCTTATCTCTCCCTTACTTCCATTGCTTACTCTGGCTTTGTGGAAGGAAAGGAAACCCATGGATCTGAGTGAGGAGATATAGTTTTGATGGATCTTTGGCCCCTCTTGACCTAGGCTCATTGGAGTCTGAGCCAGCCAGGGTGGTTGGGAACCAGGGGGCACTTGTCTCTGGGTCCTTCATTGACTCCAGTCCTGTCCTCTTCTGAGGCAGTAGGTTGCCCATTGCTCCTGCTCTGGCCCTTCCTGTGTGAGAGTCATGGGCCCCAGAAGAGGCGGCAGACCCCAAGGAATGAAGCTGAGACCAGAGTCAGGCCTGAGGAGGAGGAGGAGGAGGAGCCACTGATGGAGATGCGGCTACGAAATGCACCTCACCACTTCAGTGCAGCGCTGCTGCAGCTGGGCCTCAAGTACCTCTTTGTCCTTGGTGTTCAGGTGGGTGCAGGGGAGGGATCAGGGAGTTAGTGACCTTTTCTCGTGTGTGTATGTCACATTTTCTCTTTCATACTTTGTTAAAACTCTGAGAGGGAGGCTTGACTGACGTACAGATGAGTGAAGTGGTTTCCCAAGGCTACCAGACGCAAATGGCAATATTCAGACTTGAGCCTGGATCTCCTGAATCATAGTCTTAGGTTGTTTCCTCTCCACAACCTAGATCTGGACTGTGCTGGTTGCATTTGGGGATTACTATATTAGTGCACAGACTGGAAAAACTGAGGTGATGGCCAGGATTCTTTCCCAGGCTGTGGTCATGGATCCTCCTGTCCTCCAGAGGCAGAAGGTGTGGTGTCGACATCTTCCTCCACCCTGGAAGGCAGAGCCTGAGAGTTAGCATCACAGATGGATAGTAACTTGCCTAAGGTCACACAGTGAGTCAGTGGTTGGGCCAGGATAAGAATTGGGTCCTTAACTCCTAGCACAGAGTTTTTTTCCATTGACACTCATTGCTTTCCTCCTCCTTCCATTCTTCACAGGGACCTTCAGCAACTCTTCTTTGCCCAGCATCCTCCTCCCCTTTTCAAGTAACTTGGCTCCTCCTTTCCTCCCTTAGATTCTGGCCTGTGCCTTGGCAGCCTTCATCCTCCGCAGACATCTCATGGTCTGGAAGGTGTTTGCCCCCAAGTGAGTGGATTTGCATAAGCAGTAGAGGTGGTGGGGAGGGAGAAGCTTGGAGCAAAGTATGAATATCCAGGATGGACATGGCTTTACCTCTGTAGGGAAGAGGCTCTAGATCTGCCTTCAGTATCCCCTGAGATTCTCCACCTTTCTTTGCAGGTTTATTTTTGAGGCGGTGGGCTTCATTGTGAGCAGCGTGGGACTTCTCCTGGGCATAGCTTTGGTGATGCGAGTAGATGGTGCTGTGAGCTCCTGGTTCAAACAGCTAGTTCTGGCCCAGCAGAGGTAGCTTTGGCTGCAGGAGCTGGCTCCTGACCACTGAGAGAGCTGGAGAACAATATAGCCTGGCCAGTATGGATGCTGGATCATCTGCAAGAGATGCTTTGCTACACCTCTTACCACCATGCAGCCAGAGGCTGCTGGCATTTGGGACTTCACTATTTTATAATTCAGACTCACTGACTCCTGTCCCTGACTCAGATCCCTGACTCCTGTCTTAGATGCATGTGAGGGACTGTGAGGTGGTCTCCAAAGTGGAATAAAATAATTACATAAATATGTGTGTCTGAGATGTGGGGGCACCCCTACTATTCCCATAGGGGTTGAGGGGAGGTGAGTCTCCCCTCCAACCAGGCACTGTTGTTTTATCTAGGCCTGCTACACCTGAGAACCTTTGGGAAATGGCTGGAGTTAGCTGATTTCACTGCCCCTACCTCTTCCCAAATCACTCCTATTATCTTACATGCCATTTTTCTTTGCCATGCAACACATTTTATTAAGTTCCTATGCTTTGGCTGATAACAGAGCTATGGGGAAGGCTGGAAAGACAAGCCTAGGCATCATGGAGCACACAGACTTGAGGGGGAAAAGACTTTTTATCATGCAGTGAGGCACTAGTAGGGAGAATTTCTGTGGGACCAGTTCCCACCTTTAGGTTCTTCCACCTTTTCTCTTGTGGTCCCTTAATCCTAGTCTCAGCCTCTTCTAGAAGTCCTGGGCATCATTATCCTAATGCCGTTCCCAATCATTAGGGCTTTCATTATTACTCCTTTCACTGTCTGAAGCCCCAAATAGTGCTGTGTCCCCTCCTCTGCTGTGTCCTTTCACTCCAGAACACCCCTTGCCCTTCTGTTCTTCAGAGGCTTCCCTAGCTTCCCAGCCTGTGCTGCCGTTATTAGACCTACTTGTCCATCTTAGACAGAATTCCACCTTGTCCCATTGATTATTCCTGACTTGAAGCCAAAACTGTTAATCTACTGCTCCTGCCATGCAGGCTGGCATGAAACCGTTTTTGAGATGTCTGTCAAAGGAGTTCAGAAGAGGCTCTGGAGAGCTGGGTTAAGACTAGGGTTTGAGGCTTGAGAGTGCCCAGGGCAGAAGATGAGACCACTGAAGTAGAGGACAGATGCTAGAACCGTGGGGCAGCACCTGCCTTTGAACAGGCAGAAGGAAAAAGAAGCCAAGTAGCAGTCACTGCTATGGTAGCTAAGGGATGAGTTCAAATTAAATTACTAATGACCAATAGTCCCAAGTGCTACAGAGGTCAAATAGAAAGATGAAGAAAAGTGTGTGCTGTTTCAGGCAGTTAGAGGGTCGGTCATTGGTGACCCTGGTGGAAACATTTAATAATGCAGGGGGAGAAGTTAGGCCCCAGCTGGTTTGTAAGAAGAATTAGAAAAAGCCCGCCGCCTGCTCCGTATCTGCTTCTGGTGGCACAGTTCCCAAGCATAGTTTGGTGAGCAGACGGTGCCTTTGTGAGAAGAAAAAAGGATCTTCTCCATCCCTAGTACCATGGGAAGGATGTCAGGCTTCAGCCCCGCAACCTCTCCCCTGCCACTGCTCCCTCTTTTTTTTTTTGCAGGGGTCCCCTTGCCTAAGGCCAAAGGTTATTCTGCTGATCTTCCAACCACTATTTGTTTCTCCTGATTCTTCAGAGGAAAATAGGTTAGTATTGATTAACACTACTAAAATTTCTTCCTAATTACATCCCTGCCTTTTACTTCACATCAAAGAGCCCATTCCACACGGTTTTCTTTTTTTAAAGAGCCTTTTTGAGGTACAGTTTATATACCATAATATACACTCATTGTAAGTGTACAATTCCATGATCTTAGTAAATTTATGGAGTTTAACCATTACCACAATTCAGGTTTTTTCTTTCTGTAAGTTTTTTTGAGATATAATTCACATGCAGTTTGTCCATTTAAAGCATATAATTCAATGATTTTTGTATACTCACTGAGTTGTATAACCATAACCACAATCAGTTTTAGAACATTTTCATCACCCCAAAGAGAAACTCCATACCCTTTAGTTGTCACCTTCCCGCCTCTTCACACACCCTCATCCCCAGTCCTAGGTAACCACTAATCTACCTTCTGTCTCTGTAGATTTGCTTATTCTGGACATTTCATATAAATGGAATATAACAAGTGGTTTTTTTGTGATTGGCTTCTTTCATTTAGCATAATGTTTTCAAGGTTCATGTTGTAGCATGCATTAGTACTTCATTCCTTTTTTTAACTGAGGTAAAATTCACATAAAATTCATCACTTTAACCATTTTAAAGTGTACAATTCAGTGGTCCTTAGTACATTCACAGTGTTGTACAAACATCATTATTCTTCATTCCAGAACATTTTCATCACCCTAAAAAGAAACCCTGTACCTGTTAAGCAGTCATTCCTCAACTCCTGCCAACCACTAATCTGCTGTGTCCCTATGAGTTTGCCTACTTCAGACGTTTCATATAAATGGAATTATACAATATGTGGCCTTTTGTGTCTGGCTTCTTTCAGTCGGCCTAATGTTTTCAAGCCTTATCCATGTTGTAGTATCTATCAGTACTTTATTCCTTTTTGTGGCTGAAATATTATATGAATATACCACATTTTATGTATCCATTCAATAGTTGATGGTTATTTGATTGTTATCACTTTTTGGCTATTGTGAATAGTGCTGTTATGAACCTTCTTGTGTAAGTTTTTGTTTGAATACTTGTTCTCAATTCTCTTGGATACATATACCTAGAAGTGAAATTGCTGGGTCATATGATAACCCTAAATTTAACCTTTTGAGCAACTGGCAGCCTGTTTTCCAAAATGGCTGTACCATAGTGCATTCCCACCAGCAGTGTATAGAAGTTTCAATTTCTCCACATCCTTGCCAACACTCGTTATTTGTCTTTTTTATTCTAATCATCCTAGTGGGCCTGAAGTGGCATCTCACTGTGGTTTTGATTAGCATTTCCTGATGTTGAGCATTTTTTCTTGGGCTTTTTCACCATACGTATATGGATCTTGGCTGAAAGCAGAGAATACCAGAAAGATATTTACCTGTGTTTTACTGACTATGCAAAGGCATTCGACTTTGTGGATCATAACAAATTATAGATAACATTGTGAAGAATGGGAATTCCAGAACACTTAATTGTGCTCACGCGGAACCTGTACATAAACAGAACAACGGAATACTGCGTGGTTTAAAATCAGGAAAAGTGTGTGTCAGGGTTGTATCCTTCACTATACCTATTCAATCTGTATGCTGAGCAAATAATCTGAGAAGCTGGACTATACGAAGAAGAACATAGCTTCAGAATTGGAGGAAGACTCATTAACCATCTTCGTTACGCAGATAACACAACCTTGCTTGCTGAGAGTGAAGAGGACTTGAAGCACTTAACTGATGAAGATTAAAGACTACAGTACAGATTACACTTCAACATAAAGAAAACAAAAATTCTCACAACTGGGTGAATAAGCAGCATCATGATAAACAGAAAAGATTGAATTTGTCAAGGATTTCACTTTACTTGGATCCACAATCAACACCCGTGGAAGCAGCAGTCAAGAAATCAAATGATGCATTGCATTGAGCAAATCTGCTGCAAAAGACCTCTTTTAAAGTGTTAAAAAGCAAAGATGTTACTTTAAGAACTAAGGTGCGCCTGACCCAAGCCCGTGGCGTTTTCAGTCACCTCATATGCATGGGAAAGCTGGACAATGAATAAGGAAGATGGAAGAATTGATGGGTTTGAATTATGGTATTGGTGAAGAACATTGATCATACCATGGACCACCAGAAGAATGAACAAATCTGCCTTGGAAGAAGTACAGTCAGAATGCTGCTTAGAAGCAAGATGGCGAGACTTCATCTCACATACTTTGGACATGTTGTAAGGGGGGACCAGTCCCTGGAGAAGGATATCATGCTTGGTGTCTTAGTCATCTAGTGTTGCTATAACAGAAATACCACAAGTGGATGGTTTTGACGAAGAGAAGTTTATTTCCTCTCAGTCAAAGTAGGCTAAAAGTCCAAATTCAGGGCATCAGCTCCAGGGGAAGCCTTTTTCTCTCTGTCGGCCCTCTTCTCTTTGGTGTTCCCCCGGACTAGGAGCTACTCTGCGCAGGGACCCCGGTCCAAAGGATGCGCTCTGCTCCCAGCACTGCTTTCTTGATGGTATGAGGTCCCCAACTATCTGCTTGCTTCCCTTACCCTTTTATCTCTTGAGAGATAAAAGGTGGTGCAGGCCACACCCCAGGGAAACTCCCTTTACATTGTATCAGGGATGTGACCTGGGTAAAGGTGGTGTTACAATCCCACCCTAATCCTCTTTAACATAAAACTACAATCACAAAATGGAGGCCAACCACACAATTCTGGGAATTATGGCCCAGCCAAATAGATACACACATTTTTGGGGGGACATAATTCAAACCATGACACTTGGTAAAATAGAGGGTCAGCAAAAAAGAGGAAGACCCTCAACAAGATGGATTGACACAGTGGCTTCAACAATGGGCTCAAGCATCACAACGCTTGTGACGATGGCACAGGACCGGACAGTGTTTCAAGTTCTGTTGTACATAGGGTTGCTAAGAGTCAGAACCAATCTGATGGCACCTAACAACAATAAGCATTTGCATATAAGTCTTTGTGTGAGCATATGTTTTCATTTCTCTTGGGAAGGTTCCTTGGGGTGAAATTGCTGTGTTGTTTGGTAAACTTATGTTTAATTTTTACGTAACTGCCAAAGTGTTTTCCAAAGTGACTGTACCATTGTCTATCCCCACTGGCAATGTATGGGGGTTCCAGCTGCTACACATCCTCATCAACACTTGCTATTATCTGTGTTCTTTATTGTAGCCATTCTTTATTTGTGTAGTGAGTTTTCATGGTTTTAATTTGCATTTCCCTAAAGGCTAATGATGGTGAGCACCTTTTATGTGCTTCTAAGCCATTCATATAACTTTTTTTGGTGAAATGTCGACTCATATTTTTTGCCCATTTTCAGTGGTCTTTAAAAAATAGTTTTATTATTGAGTTTTGAGTGTTTATATATTATGGATACCAGTCCTTTATCAGATATATGATTTGCAAATAATTTTTCCCACCTTGTGACTTTTTGAATTTTAATGGTGTCTTTGTAACACATGAGTTTTTAATTTAATAAAATCCAATTTATTTTTAAATTGCTCTTGCTTTTTTGTGCTAAGAACTTATTGCTTAACTGAAGGTCATAAAGATATTTTCTCTTACGTTTTCTTCTAGAATTTTATATTTTTGGCTCTTAACATTTAGGTTTGTGACCCATTTTGAGTTAATTTTATGTGTGGTCTGAGATAAGGGTCAAAGGTTAGTATTATTATATATTTTTAATTATTTTTATTATTTTTTGCATACGGAGTCAATTCTCCTAGTTCCACTTGCTGAAAGGATTGGGCAGGCACCTTCAAGCAGTGCAATGCACAAGCACAAGGCCACGCTGCCATGTGTTTGACGAGACAGTGGTAAGCGGGAGAAACTCATCAAGTTCCCTGCCTTATGGGCCTCTCTAAACTCACACCATCGATAGTGAGCAGGGAAAAATGGGACAATTACGGAGAGCTTTGGTGTACCCTAAGTTTCTTTTGGAGACACTTTCTTATCAGGATGGACTTTTCCTTGCTGCTCTGCGCAGGACTACGATTCCCAGCATGCAGCGCGCGGGTCAGCCCTTCGCAAGGAGGAAACCCGGGAGGGTCTGGTTGCGTGGCTGCGTGGAAGCGCTGAGCCACCGAGTCTGGTGCCGAGATCTGCTCCATTCTATCCTTTCTCAAGGATTTGGCCTCCGCGAAAGCTCAGCCGACTTAACCGCGAGCCGAGCGACATTCCCATTCAGACACACGCCTCCTCCTGCCAACATCAGCCTCCCTCACTGGTCCCGGCCAGACTCGTTTCTTCCCCGAGTTTCCCGCGGGGACCATCTCTTGAAGACGACCAACCGCAGCTGCAAACTGTATAGGTCTGGCCAACCAGAGGCGAGGGTGGAAGCTGGGGCGGGCGGCGGGAAGGGAAGAGTTCATTTCTTCTGGAGAGGGTGAGCCGGCCGGGCAGGTTCCCCGACGGAAGCTGGGGAGTCGCGGCGGCTTGCAGAAGGGCGCGGGCCCCTCCCCGCTCAGGTGGGAGGCTTCGGCACCCCCTCCGGGTGTCCGGCCCCAGCCTTGGCCACAATGTCCCAGGCCCCTCTGGACTCCTCATCACCACGCGCCAGCTGCATGGACCTGTGGAGGGAAAAGAATGACCGGCTAGTTCGACAGACCAAGGTAACGCAGTTGCTGGGACCCTTGCCAGTCCCAAGCCCCCAGAAAGTGGGTTTGCAGCGGAATTACCCCTGCCTCTGGGGAGGGGCTGAGCTTGACCACCCCAAAGAGCCAGAAATGACTGGAGAATGACATCCCCTGCCTCTGCCACAAAGGGAGAGGGAAGGACTTATCTTCAGTGACACCCCCTCCCACATTCAGCAGGTGACTCAGGACTCCGATCTGTTACTGAGGCAACAGCAGTTGGCTCAGGATGCACTGCAAGGGTTCAGGGAGCTCCTTCATAGTCTGCAGGGTAAGCAAAGATCCTTCCCAGGATGGTCAGTTCCCCTCTGCCGCCAGAGACCAGTTCCTCTTCTGCATTTCTGGGGTTGAGATGATCACTCAGGGGACAGGAAGTTCTGTTTAAGGCACAGACTGGACTGGGGTGGAATTGTCTTTGTACAGGTGATCCCCCCCACCTCTTGTATGCTGGCGTTTGCGGAAGTGGTTTCTAGTCCAGACTCTGTCCAGAGGGTGGGTTCTTAATTGAGGTCATTTTGGTTGGAGTGGGCAATCTCTGGGTTGGGATCTTGTCTGGGGAATCTTTGATGGGGGAGCAGTCAGTGAAACCAGCATTTGTTGCCCCAGGGCTTCCTGCAGCTATTTCTGCCCTCCCCTTGGAGCTGACTGTCATCTGCAACTTTATTACCCTGAAAGCAAGCCATACCCAGGGCTTCACTGAGGACCAGGACCAGGATATCCAACACGGCCTTGAGAGAGGTGAGGGCCAGAGATTGCCTCTCATGCCCCTGCCAGCTGCAGTCTGGATTTAAGCCCTTTTAGGGAGATGGGAGGAACACCATATTCTGTCACCTCCACAGATAGATGCCCCTCTCTGATCTTCTTTGTACCCCTCAGACCAGGTTGAGGTGTTCTTATTGTGACCCTTTGGCTTCTGCAGAAGAGGAAGATGAAGGGATGTGGGTGGGGGGGTTGGAGGATGAGGTCCCACCTTAATTGTGTGTGTGTGCTCTACAGTGCTAGAGGCCCAGAAGCAGCTAGGACCCAGGCTGGAATGTGGGCTCAGGGAGCTGTGGGACTCTGTCCTCCATGCTTCCTCCCTTCTGCCTGAGCTACTTCCTGCCTTGCACCACCTGGCTGGCCTGCAGGCTGCCCTCTGGCTGAGCACTGACCATCTTGGAGATCTGGCCTTGCTGCTACAATCGCTGAATGGCAGCCAGGTAATAGGGGAAGTGACCTGGATCTGAGGACCCCCTTCTCTGGCTGCAGTAGCATCATTATGTTCTAGAAAGGCTGCTTGGCTGGTGATGAGAGACCTGCAACTCTTGGATGACCTTGTTCTGTTTCTGCTCTCATTGGGGGATTCTCTTGGGAGTGTTTTTTATGGCTTAATGATCTTGGGTGAGGTTAGGGCTCTCATGACCTTGATCAAGTCACTTCCCAGCCTCAGTTTTATCAGTAACTCAGACATGGTACCTTGCCCCATGTCCTCATGGGCTTATCCTGAGTGAGAAGGTGAACTAGAATCAATCATGACTGCCCCAGGTTTTTCTTCTTCCTTTTATCCTTGCCCCATAGCTATCTATCTCTTAGAATTGAAGGAACAGAGATCAGAAGGACCCTAAAGCTCAAGGTTCAGCTAGGGTAGACTGAGACAGGAGAAGAGGGGAGTGGTTATGAACTTGAAGCCTCTAGTCATCCTTCTGTCCCCAGAGCGGGGCCTCTGAGGATCTGCTGCTGCTTCTAAAAACTTGGAGCCCTCCAGCTGAGGAGTCAGATGCCCCACTCACCCTGCAGGATGCCCGGGGCTTAAGGGATGTCCTTTTGACGGCATCTGCCCTCCGTCAAGGTCAGCTAACAACCTGACTCATCCCGTCTTTCCCACTCCCTATCTCAAGGGGCCCTCTGGGCTCATGGCCTCCCTGTCATGTCCTATTCAGCCCCATGGAGCCTCTGCGTGTTCTTGTAACCTATCATTCATCCTGCCGTATGGACCTCTGTAAGCTCATACCCTGATTTCTCTCAGGTCTCCAGGAGTTAATCACAGGGAGCCTACCCAGGGCACTGAGTAGCCTGCAGGAAGCAGCCTCAGGTCTGTGTTCATGGCCTGTGTTGGTCCAGGTATACACGGCGCTGGCGACCTGTCTCCGTAAGATGGTAAAGATAGTCCTGGGGTTGGTGAGGGGAAACCATGAGTGTTATGGGCAGCTTTCTGCTTGTGATGGTAGCTGAGGCCCATGTCCTCCCACCCCTCTAGGGTAGTCCACAGAGAGCATTGTTGTACTTGGTTGCAGCCCTGAAAGGGGGATCTGTTTGGGGCCCCCCACTTCTGGAGGCCTCCAGGCTATATCAGCAACTGGGGGACACAGCGGCAGAGCTGAAGAGTCTGGAGCTGCTGGTTGATGTAAGAAACTATGCTAAGTGAAAACACAGGGTGGAGGATTACTGAGGTGCTTGTGTTGGGGTGACTAGTCAAGGTACAAGTATAAGGAAGTGTGGCTCCCAAAGATTGTAGATACACTTTTTCCTTTCTGTCCCCCTTCAGGCCCTGAGTGTCACCCAGAACTCTGAAGCCCCCCAGCTTCTCATTGAGGTAGAGTTGCTACTCCCACGACCTGACCCAGCCTCGCCCCTTTACTGTGGCACACAGAGCCAGGCCAAGCACCTGCTAGCAAGCCGATGCCTACAGACAGGCAGGTGAGGTTCCCCCTTGGTTACCTGGGCTCTTCTCACTTCTGCTGCCTTCCTTGGAGTGTGACTCTGCTTCTGTTCTCGGGATTGGGGGATGGAGCAGGTAGTAGTGGGACCTAGGTCCCCACTCCTTGGCCTCCTGCCTTGCTGCTGGACCTGAACTGAGAACTCTTCACCCAGGCACTAACCTCTTGTATCTTGAAAATTCTGAAGTCTCCTCCTCAATCCATTCTATAACTGGGGAAGATCATACTGAGCTGGGGTTGGAGCCCCAAGACATCACCCTCCCCACCCTCTGGGGCCATTGAGCATCCCTCTGTTAGCTAAGAAAAAACATTCTCACTGGAGCCTTTGGAGGGACCTGCTAGAGGCCTAAGGTAAGGCTCATTGGCTATGACTCCTCAGGGCAGAGGATGCTGCAGAGCATTACTTGGACCTGTTGGCCCTATTGCTGGATGGCCTGGAGCCAAGGGTAGGTGTGTCTTCAAGGTTCTCTGCAATGGGAAAGGAAGATTGGGATCCCCTTTGGAGTAGAGCAGGACTGCTGCTTTTGTCTCTACATTTCTGTTTGTCCAATCTGGATGGTGGGGGTAGTATAGTTGGGGACCAGACTGGGAAGGCTTCCTAGAGTAAGAGATCCAGAGCAACAAGCAATGGATAGTCTTTGCATGCTACTAGGGCCTAGTAAAAAGGTTAAGGACAGTTGTTCATGCCTCTTTAAGACACTACATTTTCCTCCCACCCCAGTTCTCCCCACTGCCCTGCCCCCCAGGGCCCTGTATGCCTGAGGTGTTCTTGGAGGCAGCAGTAGCACTGATCCAGGCAAACAGAGCCCAGGATGCTTTGACTGTTTGTGAGGAGTTGCTCAGCCGAACATCATCCCTGCTTCCCAAGATGCCCTGGTTGTGGGAAGATGCCAGAAATGTAGCCAAGGAGCCTATAAACTGCCCACTCTGGGTCTCTGCCACCTACCTGCTTCAGGGTCAGGCCTGGGTGAAACTGGGGGACCAAAAACAGGCAGTTAGTGAATATAGCCGGTGAGTTTGGGAAGCCCTGGGGGAAGTGGGGTGGAGGTGGGGGGAGGTGATTTTCTGACTGGGACAAGAGTTGGGAGCTCTGTCCTCACCTAGCTGCTCCAGAGTTTCTTAGGTTGAACCTCTACTCCACGTCTTACTTCAGGTGCCTTGAGCTGCTCTTCCGGGCCACACCTGAGGACAAAGAACAAGGTGATTTAGGCTTAATTTTCATCTTCCCTCCTGGAAGTGGTGGTGATGGAGATGGGTTCTCTTTCCATGTGTCCCAACCCATCAGGAGACTTAACGGGAGGGAACTCCAGACACAAGAGATAGAGAGGGACTTAGGGTTTTGGTGACTGTGTGGCTGGGAAACCACTTCCTGACTTTGAGAGTGGTCCCCAGGGGCTGCTTCCAACAGTGACCAGAGGTGCAGACCAGATGCAGCACTGCAACAGCTTCGATTAGCTGCCCTGATAAGTCGTGGACTGGTATGGGTGGCCAGTGGCCAGGATACCAAAGCCCTGCAGGACTTCCTACTCAGTGTGCAGATGTGCCCAGGTTTGTATACTTGCATGACATCAGATATGTACAAATGTGCATGGACAAAGAGGCCCGAGGGGAGGTATTGGGCATGGATGTAAAGGTGGTATTTCCAGATAGGAGGGGTGAGTGGAATTATGATATGTATATCTAGGGACATAACCAGGTATGCACATACAGGCATACACAGATGTGTATACAGAGCCCCCAAGAGTTCCCAGGTCTTCCCATGTCCTCAAACACAAAGACAATGATTGCACTAGAGGGTAGGTTGGGTAGGAGGAGCAGTGCTGGCTGAGCCTTTTGTCTTGGGCAGGTGAAAGAAGATAGCTTCTATATTTGTGGGTGGCGTTCAAGGTGGACCCTGGGATAGGAATGGTTGGGAATGATCTATCTCCAGTTCTGTGTGTGACCGTAGGCAAGACACTTCCCATCTCCAGGCCTCGTTTTATAAAATGATGCCTAAGTCTCTGTCAAGATCTAAGGGTCTCTACTCTGGGTTGGGGGTACAGGTAATCGAGATGCTTCCTTTCACCTGCTTCAAACTCTGAGGAGACTGGATCGGAGGAATGAGGCCACTGCTTTCTGGTGGAGGCTGGAGGCCCAAACTAAGCTGCCACCGGAGGATGCCACATGGTGAGGCTGAGGCCTGCTGGCTTGGGGCTGAGAGGCACTTGAAGTCCTGGAGCCTCGGGCCTGTTGGGGGTGGTAGGGAATGAAAGAGAAGGGATGGCTGCCCAACCTTCTGCTTAACCTTCACTCTGGGGCATCTTTCTTCTTGCTCTCCAGGTCTCTCCCCCTATACCTAGAAACCTGTTTGAACTGGATCCACCCTCCGGACCGGGAAACCCTCCTGGAAGAGTTTCGGACATCTCTGCTGGAGCCTTCTGATCTGTAGCTGCCATGTTTCCTACACCAGCTTGAGCTGGCCCCCCAGCATCTCTCTGTGGGAAGGACTTTTTGCTTTAACATCTTTGGGAAATGTGGCTAGAGCTTACCTTTCCTATATAATTCCAATTGGAGAGGTTGGTGGTAGTCCTGTCAAATTTGGCATAATAACTGCCGTCCTAGTTCCAGAGGAAGCGCCCCCCTGCCATCTCCAACAAGACATTGACTTTGCTTATGGCATGTTTTTTTCCTGTTTCCCCTTTTTTTGTGTTGAGTAAAATCTTATATTTATCTCGTCTGCCTACTGTACATACTTGAATGGGAAGACTTGCAGCTTCTAGATTCAGTTGAGTGCTGGTTGTCTAAGATACCCGTCTCCTACCATCATCTTACGAGTTTGAAGTCTGGGGTGAGGAAAGGGCTATAGGAATCCTTACTCAGGAGGCAGTGGCATTAGTCCTTCCCATTGCCTAAAAGCAGAGCCCCAAGTCCATGATCCTGTGCTAAGTGACAGAATGAGTAGAACTGACTCGGGAGGGTGGCCTGGGCAGGCCTCCTAGGACAAGGTTGGGTGCTTGAAAATAAGAGGAGGGACAGGCAGACCATTGAGTCTCTCAGAGTAACTCCCCACCATCTCTCTAATCCCAGGTTCTAGAACTGGACCTATTTCAGTCAAATGTGCCTGTGCGGGTAGGGAGCAAACATTGAATTGAGTCAGCGTATCACTAAGACGTGTCTCTTGATTACAGTCAGGGTCACTGGCATTTTGGAACCAAGGATTTCAAGTCCCAGCATGCAGTTTTCTTGATGCTTTTGGGTTCTAATGAATCGCCTGTGTGTTCTGTGGTTGCCCTTGGACCCCTCTCTGAAGTTGAGTTCCCTCCCCCATGTAACCATTAATATTAATACCCTGTGGTAAGGGGAACACACATTCCCAAGCTCTGATGAACTGGAAAGCTTGTGGGGTCGGGTTACCAGAGGATGCAGTGACAAGACAATATGGTAGGGTAGATTAAGAGCTGGTGTGATAGTCAAAGGGCTCAGAGCAGGGGTGACTGGAGCCAGCATTTTGAAGGAGCAAGGAGAGTGTTGCAGAACTAGGTCTATAGGTTAGGGTGACAAGAAAGGCTTTAGGTGGTGATAGAGGATGTTCAGGTTTTAGAAGATGGGCGTGTGGGTTATCACTATAACCCCTCTCCCTACCCCCAAAAAACAAACCATTGCAATGTAGTCAATTCTGTCTCATAGCAACCCTGTAGGATAGAGTAGAACTGCCCCCATAGGGTTTCCAAGGCTATACTTTTTATGAGGGACCCCTGGTGGCATAGTGGTTAAGAGCTCGGCTGCTAACCAAAAGGTTGACAGTTTGAATCCACCAGCTGCTCCTTGGAAGCCCTATGGGGCAGTTCTACTGTGGCCTACAGGGTCTCGCTATGAGTTGGAACCCACTCGACGGCAATGAATTTGGTGGGGTTTTTTTTTTTTTTTTTGGTTAATCTTTATGAGAGCCGACTGCCACATCTTTCTTCCTTGGAGCAGTTGGCGGCTCGAACTGCCGACCTTTCAGCTAGCAGCCAGCTCTTAACTAACTCCTATACCACCAGCGCCCCTTATCACTACAGAAGTACTGGACTATAAAGTTGTTATTAGTTGGCCAGGAGTCTATTCCAACTCATGGCGACCCCACGTATGACAGGGTAGAACTAGACTAATATAAGATTTCAATCCATTGTGCCAGGTTTTTCCAGGAGGATAAACTCAGGAGCCAATGAACTAGAGCCAAGTGGGAGAGTCGGCCTCCAGGGATTAAAGGCTCGCCTGCCGCCAGTCGCTCTGGCTCCATTCTTCTCGCTGATTGGTCGAGAGTCCCAATCCGTCGAGGAAGCCTAGCCTTGCGGCCAATTGCCTTGGCGTTACTAGGCGTGTTGCATCCCAGAGGCGGGAGACAGGCCGCGAGTGAATTTTCTGATTGGCTCTGGTCCGCGGGTTGCTGGGGAGAGGCGCGGAAAGGCGGGCAGGAGTCCCCAACGCAGGCTGTGATTGGCTGAGGTGAGAACGGCTCTCCTTCCGATGATTCGGCTCTTCTCGGTTCAGTCTCAGCGAAGCGTCTGCTTCCGTCGTTTGAGTAGTCGCTGCTGCTGCCCCGCTCGCGGGTCCGGAACTAGCGTCTCCCGCCAGCCCACCGCCCTAGTGCCGCTGGGAGGAAGCGAAAGGGAGGTTGCCTGCGGGTTTGTCACCGCTGCTTAACCCCCGCCTGGGAGAGCCGAGCCCCGGTCCAGTCGGTTGCCCGCCACCCCTCATATCCGTTACCCGCGAGCCGCCACAGCCGCCGGCCGAGAGAGGCGCGCGCCATGGCCTCCGGAGCTGAGTGAGTGTGTGTGCGCGCGCCCGCCTGCCCTCTGCGGGTGCGCGCACCGGCGGGATCCGCCGCGCTGCGTAGGCCCGGCCAGGCCTGGCCGTGGGCGCGTCTAAGTGGAGAGAGGGAAGGAGAGGAAGGGGCGAATGAGGGGCCGCGGGCCTGCTTGGGCCCGGCTGCGCCCCCGCGCGCCCCCTAGGCGAGGCTTGCGTTGGGTCCCGGTCGGGGCCTGGGCCCGATCGTGCTGTGTCATGCAGGCCCCGACCGGCGGGATTTGCTCCGTCAGAACGGCCGTCCAGGCCTAGTAAGGGCTGTGGGTCCACACTGCTGGCGCGGAGACCGGGACCTTGGGGTGCCCATCAGCGATCCGGCCTGCCACCCGCTGATAGGGGTTTTGTTTCCCGGAGAGAGCAGGCCCCGCGGGCCCGAGTCCCTGGCTGGGCCCAGTGGGCGTGGAGTTGGGGCCACGTGAAAGCTTCAGGAGCCCTGAGACCGAGGCAGAGGCCGGGACCGGGAAAGGCCTGGCGAGCTCAGCGAAGCTCACGGCGGCCCTTTTGGAGCCGGGGCGGCCTGGCCCATAGTTGGCATCTTCTGCGACCTGAGTGGAGGCGGCCTGTTACAGAGAGGGCGGGCCCTGCCTTTGGCTTCTGGCCTTTTTCTACTTTAGGCCTGTTGTTATCCCTAAGGCAGCTTTCCTAGCTGTTGTGACTTGGGAGAAGGGAAATTTTCCTTTTTCTGTTTTGGGTTTTTGCTAAAATTCGAGTCTCAGTTTATATTTTGTGGGAGTTCTAGATTTAAGCTTTTGTGGTGTGGAGGTTATAGTGGCCCTAACTCTTCAAACACCCGCATGCGCCTTTTCCCAAGTTGCTACGTTGAGAAATTCTGGGTCCTGGGACTTTTTGGCCCCACCCCAATCCCTCATAAAAGCATCAGGTAAAGCATAGCTACCTCAGCCCATTCAGTTTAGAATCAGGAGCTTTAGATACTGAAACTCATATGCAAATCACGTTCTTGCCTTGAAGAGGTTAGGTTTTTGAGGTGTGTTCCTTTTTCTCAAGTTTCTGAGTTGAGATGAAGTATTACTCAGTTGTCGATTTAAAAGGACTGTCTGTTAGTACTTAAAATATTTTCCGAGGTTATCCAATAAGTGTTTTGTTTTCAATACTAAAAATAAAAATCCAGAATTCTTGGAACCTAGCATCAGAGACAGTTTCTAACCCCTAGATGCACGTCTAAAGCACATCTTGATGACTCTTACCTGAACTCCTTCCAAGTCCCCTGTGACGCTCTGGGGTTCTGGAAAGGGCCTGACTCATGCAGAAGACAATGGAGGATGTCCCACAGAGCCTTCACAACTGCTGCTGGCCCATAGTCTGGCTGAATTCTCTGTTTTAGAGATTACCTCCTTTGGTAGATAAACCAAACCAAACCCATTGCCACTGAGTGAATTCTGACTCATAGCGACCCTAAAGGACAGAGTAAAACTGCCCTCATAGGGTTTCCAAGGCTGTAATCTTTATGGAAGCAGACTGCTACATCTTTCTCCCACGGAGCCACTGGTGGGTTCAAACTGCTAACCTTTCGGTTAGCAGCCAAGCGCTTAACCACGGTGCCACCAGGGCTCCTTCTTTGGTAGGTCAGCAGGGAATTAAGAGTTCTTTATCCTAAGGGGAAGGCATACCACTCATCTCCAGAGCCAGGGTCAGAGGTAGTAGGCAGATTGGGGTTTTTTCTAGAGTGCAGCTTTGGGGTTAAAAGTGAGATACAAACTTATGACTAGAGGCATCTCGTATTTTTCTTTTCCAACCTCAGTCTTACAGATAAAGCAGGAAGATCAGAAGCCCTTGGAGGGTGTGGGGCGGGGGGGAGCTGATGGGTTTACATTGCCCTCAGTTGTCACTTTGACCATGTGTGACCTCCAGGGTACTGATCAGCATTGGAAGGGTCACTCTACTCTGCAACACACGTGCCATGGGTTGGGGAAGGATGAAGAAACACCACCCTTGGAAACTAGTTTAAAGGCAGTGGTTAAAGATGCAACCTATGTGTGAGAGTAGGCAGAAGGTTTAAAACTTTGTTAGATGAATGAGATTTGTATTTCTGCTGGGTGTATCAGAATCAAATGATGTGAAAACCCCGTAACTTTACAGTAATGTCCTACAGCATAGGCTTCTTTTTTTATTTTCTCTTCTTGCAACTTATGAAAATATTTCTGACGGGAATGCTATTTTGGCTTGTCGACTGTTATATTCTCAGTTTCTAGAACAGTGCCTGGCACGTAGTATATTCTCATTCGTTGTTGAGTGAAGAAATAATTCATAGAGAAGGTCCCTTCCCCCCTCCGCCTCTTTTTTATTTCTTTCTCTCTCTTCCTCTACTATCTGGTCTCCCTCTTTTGGTTAATGCTCATGTTTTCCTAGGCTTTACTAAGAGGAGGCAGCTCTTTAAAGTGAGAGCCCACTGTGTCTAGTCAATGAAGGCTAGAGATGAGCTAGGTAAGAAATTGTCACTGTTGAGTGAATGATCCTAGCTTCTAGGAAATAGTAGAAACCTTGTGTACGCTCAGGCAACCTTGATCTGGTTGAGGGGGATTTGGATTTGCCCCATGTCTCAGCATTTCTTGGTTTTGACGCTTTGAACCAACTCTGGAGTTGTGTGCCTTTGTAGAGGTTACTGTGAAGCTCCTTTTGAGTTTGAACCTCTTTTGAAGGTTTTAGATCTTTTAGAGTCCCCCACCCCCCAAATATGATGGTCTTTGTGCTTGGCATGCCTGTAGTACCATGGGATCCTCTGGCATTCAGTAAGTTTAGCCAGTGAGGAGGATAGTGCTAATGAAGCTGCTTCATTGTCTGCAGGAAGGTTAGCAGAAGAAGAGCTTGTGCTTTGCCCTGTAGTGCTCAGCACTTGCTTGAATGAATTAACCAACTACCTGCTGAGGAAGTATCATTAACCTTCTGAGGTTGTTTTGAAAATCTTTCTAATGTTAGTAATCGTGGTAAGCATTCATACCGTGTGCCAGGCATTGTGTTGAGTACTTTATATTCATTATCTCGCTTAATACTGTAACCTTATCAGAT